CTGTGTGCCCTGCGATTGGCTGGTAACCGGTTCAGGGTGTCCCCCGCCTAGTGCCCGAAGACGGCTGGGATAGGCTCCAGCAACCCATGCGACCCTTGTGAGGATAAGCGGATCGGAAGATGGATGGATGGATGGATGGATGAAGCTATTTAAATTGTTTGCAAGGGCAAAACTATCCATCGGGGAATCTGATCGTTTTGTGCCACGTTGTCAACCGGGAACCCGAAAACTCATCCACCCCCCAAAAAAATACAAATCAAGAAGTTCCAGTACAAAATCCGACTAAATTCCCGTGACGGGGGTAGAAAATGGTGTCATTATTTGGTCAAACAGACAGGTGATGTATTGAAGTTAAGGGGAAAAACTGCAACAAATGCGGTACTGGTATCAAATGTGAATATGAATATGGCCGCAAGACATCTTTTGACTTTTGGCATGCGTTCCAAATACACAAGTGGCTGAAAGCTAAAATGAGTGAATAGTTGGTCTACCAGTGAGAAAATTATTTGACAAAATGGGTCAAAATTGAAGAAAGCGATACCCTCTTGGCCCATGCCGAGATCTCAGGAACTAATGAAAACAACAGAAAGCGAAGATGTTTCAAATAACACCACCGAAGCGCCGAATTGGCGCGACACAACAACAATCGCGATAGACTCCAGTGAAACGTACCCCGAGGGAGTGTGGAGACCGGCGAGTTGGTAGAGGATGTCGATCTCCATTGGAGTGATCTGACCAAACTTATTGGCAGCGTGGACAAACTCCTCTAAAATGATAAAAAGAAAAAAGGGAAAAGGCTGTCATGGTGGATTGTTCATCCCCCGCCCGCCCCCCTAAAAAACATCAACATTTCTGTTCATGTGCTGGATAGTATTTGCAAATACAATTTATTTTCCAGTGAAATGAAAGGTGCGGCACCTATGCAACACGTCGTTGGAGGAAATTCTAAATCTAAATCAATAGGTTGTTCTGCATTTTTAAGGCAGTCCGTTAATAGCAACATCGCTGGAAGATCATTTCATGATTTTTTTTTTTTAAAGGCAAGGAATCTTCTCTATTCCATGAGTGCTGTAATGACGTGTTATCCGGGTGACTGGAAAGTGCAAGTTACTCAGAAGCTCTGCCGATTGCAACTCAATTATTTGCAAATACCACAACGGGGGGGAGGAGGGGACAAAAGTGGAGTGTCTTAAGAGGAAACACTGAGGAGTAGATGGTGGCTGACAGCACGACTATCAGTTACACAGATCTACATGTTAGGGGAAGTGGTCTGATTACCAGGTCAAACGTTTTCATTTACCTTGGTAATTTAGAGCTACAGAAAATGTTCCCTGTGTGGTCACTCACACCATTCTGTCAAGACAGTTAAACATGATCACACAGCTACAGAATCAAATCCAGGCTGATGATTATTCAGTCGCGGCGAGCAAAGCGCATGGTTGTGAGTGGCGAGGTTGACGGGTGGCATCGGGGACTACCTTTGGTGACCAGCGTGTCTTTATACGCGCCGGCGAGGGTGCTGTAGATCTTGCGGATCAGCTCCATGTTGTTGAGGAGGGCGTTGAAGGCGTTGAAGTAGGAGAAGCTCACCATGTGGGAGGTACCGCCTCCGGCCGCCTGGAGAAAAACATCAAAAGAGGTCAGAGGCATATGCTGGGTCTTTTATTTTGAAGGATGGTTGCTCATTTAATATTTTGGGTAACTGCGTAAGCCTAACATATCAGACCTAAACGTTGATACATAGCATGTACGGGTACCTCATGTCTTTAATTGGAATGCAAGTTAATTTATTGCTTGTGTTTGTTTCAAAAAATAAAAAATAAAATAAATAAATGCGAAGAGGGCCATGTTAACACCTCACCTTATGAAACCGGATGAACGTTTACCAAACGGAGCCACGGCCCACTGAATTGAACTTTAATGATTGATGGAAACTTGGCTTTATAGATTTCTCGACCGGCTAACAATATGACTAAAGTGTTTTTGATCCAATCATATACGGTCCAGGACTTTTTCTGCAACCAGTTTCACAAAAAATTTACAGTTATGTATTTCTTTTTTTTTTTTAATTACAAAAAGAATTTGGTGGCCCGGTGGGCGAGTGGTTAGCGCGTCGGCCTCATAGTGCAGAGGTCGTGGGTTCGATTCTGGCTTCGGCCTCGCTGTGTGGAGTATAGTGCAGAGGTCGTGGGTTCGATTCTGGCTTTGGCCTTCCTGTGTGGAATTTGCATGTTCTCCCCTATGCCTGTGTGGGTCTTCTCCGGGTACTACGGTTTCCTCCCACATCCCAAAAACATGCATGGTTGGCTGATTGAACACTCTAAATTGTCCCTAGGTGTGAATGTGAGCGCGGATGGTCGTTCGTCTGTGTGTGCCCTGCGATTGGTAAGTATTTACTTGAATCTTGAATGTTTTGTCACATTATTTGTTCTGTTCTCCTTTTTTCAGGAAGCTCTCCATGCAACTTTGTGTTTTTACTCATTTTTGCTACCTCGTGAGCTTAAAATTTTTTTCCCCTCGATAGCACGCGATTTTCAAAATAAAATTTGCACTGACAATGTTTTCTCCAACTCACAGAAACCAGATTCTCCTCCACGAATGGAGTCAGCATGTGGTGCCTGATGGTGGCCATGATGTCGCTGAAGTCCAAAGCCGTGATGGTGCCAATTTTCTCTTTGTCTTTTTGGGCGAAAGCCTGGCGGGCGTGCTCCAGCTGTAGCTCCTACGACAGGAAAGAGAGCGAGTGGGTCACGCTGACAAAAGACGACAAGAGATGCTTCCTGTGATGAGGAGCAACACACAATAAGTGAGCTGTGAAATGGAACCTTGAAGGAGAAAAGCGTAATAATGTCAGCGTTGCCCAGATGCGAAAGTCATCTGAAGTGACAGTGAGAGACACTGGCTTCGGTAATCACCGTGTCTCTCTGGAGACTAATGGAAATCATGTCCCGAGAAGCCCGATCCCGGAACAGCGCGGAGCGCTTACTGAGTCGACTAGCAGTGCGCACGCGCGCGTGTGAAATGATTCACGATGACACGCGCGCAATCAGAAAGGGATGCAGAAGAAGGCTGACCCCGAGCCGGCCAACGTCTGCTGTCAAAGCTCATGTAACAGAGCGTGACACAGCGATGTCAACCGCAATATCCAGCCGCTACTTCCTTTTTGCACAAGTTCTCGTTAGCTAATCAGTGGCTAGCGGTTCAATAACTTATATAGCGGTGACGTCACAATTGGACGTTTTTTTTCCAGCCATGTCACAGTGTGAGCATATACTGTAGAACGACAATGTCTGATGCCAAATGGTGACCCAAAATTTAAAACTTGTCCACGTTTTCGTTTGTGGATGCAAGTACGTTTACGTCCTGGCCCAAAGACGTTCTGATTTGGTTCCTTTCATTCTGTCAGGTTGTTCGATAGGTGGAATGGGGAACACCGGGTGGCTTTGGAGCAGGTTTGGTGGCCCGCAAGAGTCTTAACGATGCTCCGCTGCCTTGGCCTGGCTGTGTCAGTACGGGATGGCCCAGGTAAGCTTTACGATTTGATAATATTTGTTTTCTGTCAACAGATTAAACCACTTTTCCATCCCTTGTGGCAAAACATGCAAAAGAAGCTGTTCTTCACATGCACACTGCACAATGCAGCACGGTTGCAAAGATTTTGGACGGCAGACGTCTCTCCTCCTGACGAAGTTTCATCCATACACACGCGGCAAATGTTTTGACAATTTAACATCCCGCCGGGCATCCACGGCAATCACCACCGCCCATCACAATTGCCCATTTTGTCCACAAGCGACTGCTTGAGCATTTTAAAACCACTAAGACTAAACCAACACGCTTCAAGGTTGCGTTTTAATGACTCCATTAAAACACCCGTGCACTGTTTTGGATTGACGGGATGGATCAAATATTTGACCTGCAGAAACTGGGTGAATTCTGTGTAGCTGAGGTTCTTGCTTCTCTTATGGCCAAAGTGTAGCCTGATGAAGTCACAGTCCCAGTTGAAGGGAATGTGATGATGCACGCTGGTCTGGCTGAAGATGTCACGTACATTCTCTGAAAGTGTGAAACGTGAATATCATTTGAATATTTCTCCTAATGCGTCGCTTGTAAAATGTTGTAGATTACTAGAGTCACAGACAGACAATAAGCAGGTGTTGCCTCCAGAAAAAAAACCTGTTAGACTACATAATGTGTACGTACCAAAAGAAACGTTCCCCGTGCCGGTCTTGTCAAACAGCTGAAAGGCAATTATGAACAGGGCATCAGGGGCGCAGAGAACCGACTCAAAGGCCAAAAACTCCTGGAATGAGATCAACCTGTTGCGACAAAGTTCATCCATATCAGTTACCCTTCACAGATAAACCGCTTCCAATACAAAAGCTGGATGAACACTTTTTTTTTTGTTGCTGGTTCACATGAAATTTTGTGGGCATAAATGTCAGAAGATCATGTACATCCCTCCCTTTTTTTTGTTTAAATTAAATCAAGTATCCACATTTATTTGTGACACAAAGCCTACAATTTCATATCCAGCCTTTGCGTTAGCATTCCTAGCTAATTAACGCGCATTGAACCAATTACCTTTCATTGTAATTTTGTTGTGAGCCATTAGTGTGATCGAATGTCTGTGTAACAATGATAATACTGTAGTACTTTGTACTTCCTTCAACGGCTTGCTCTTGCTGCTTTATTGGCTTTCCCAGCCAGAAGTGCTGATGTTTTTTTTTTTTTTTCGTACAGATGATGTAAAAGAAAGATGAAAGTTGTTGCGGGGTTTTTATTTTTTTATTTTTTTAATTCTGATCCATCCTATCAAGACCCGCCTTTAATATGGTGAATAATGTGAGAGAAGGATGCTACTCACCCATCTTTGGTGGTGTCGGCCACTCCGGCGATCAGGCCCACTGTCTTAGGGTTATGTTGCAGCTCCGTTTCCAGACCGAGGTAACGCTGCACAAAGTCTTTAGGTGTCATGTAATGCTCCCCGTCCTCCACCACGCTGGCATACTGCGCACATGACAAAAGATGACCTTACACCCCTTTGTCCAGTAAATTACCACCGTCCCTGAATGGTAAGTAAAACTGTACATGGACAACATCCACGCAGGACTGTTTTAAAATAATACTCCAATTTGATTTCATTTCGACTCTTGAGGGAAAACGCTGATTCATCACGGATGTTTTTTTTCACCACAGTCGGGACAAGGACGTGCGAGGGATAAAAGCAAACACCCATGACCGTAAAGCTGTTTTTCTTTTCATTCATTTTTAAATGCCCGGCAGTGCAAGTTGTAACGTATCCCGCTTCGTGTCCCTTTGAAGTTGCAGTAATATCTTGCACAAAGCAATGCAATGTAAAAAAAAAATGTTTACGGTGAAGGTGTCACCTTAAATGATCCCCGACAGCTGTTTGAAATGAAGTAGCTGGAGCTTCGCACCCGTGACTGATTTGCTCTTTGTCCTTAGCACAGTGGAACCAAGCGACTCGGTCAAAGCACAAGAACGTCTAAAGGGCAGCACGCGGTGGCAGCAAGGGGCCATCTATTCCTAGGAAAGATGATCAGTTGCGCAAGAAGCAGGACTCCCAAAAATACAATCGCCTGCATGTTCTGAAGCCTATGGTGCCGATGTTTAATTTGCCACAAAGCAAAGTAAAGTACAATTCTCTAAATGACCTTCCTTCTACTGTACATCCATCCATGCATTATCCAAACCGCTTATCCTAACAATGGGTCGTGGGCGTGCTGAAGTCGATTCCAGTTTGTTCAAGCAGTAGGCGGAGTACACCCTGAACTGGTTTCTTGGAATGTTGTAATCCTGATAAGCCCGGCGCAGGATTTGAAGGCACAGTTCGGAAGGAATTGGAATCTCAGCTATGACCTTCAGAAGTACAGTAAATGGGTGGATAGAACTGGATGCCTTTGTGCATTAGGTAATGTTGGAACAGAAAAGGGCCCCTCCCCAAACCATTCCCACGTAACGCAAGCATACGATTGTCCGGAATGTCTTTCTAAGACCAAAAGTAAAGATTCAGAGGAAGACGCGGAAATGATGGACGAATTTAGTCATTGCAACGACAATGCATTAAATGTTTTGATTTTGTCTCCTGAAGGACAACCGCTCAGCTCAGATGCTAAGGGATGCCACAGAGCTACTTCATCCCACTTGCGTGGCTGTTGAACTTGCAACCCACCGATACAATTGCACCTCTCAAGACACTTTTTCGAAATGAGTTCCATGAGAACTGAGTGGAAACATTCAAATAACACCAAAAGCATTAAGGGCTCTATTTTTGTAAACAAAGCAGCGACAATGCAAAAACGCCTGTTTGCAACTGTGCCCGTAGGCCGAAAGATGTGCCTCTAGAAACGGAATTTCAATCGTTTATATTTCAATCATTGCACTGAAAAGCTGATTTTTATCATCTCAATCAGCGGTCGACAGGTAGTCCGCAAACTGGAGGGGGGAAAAAATTATGTGTCTGGGTGCTGGTTATTGATATTAAATCTTTTTGTGTTAGTGTACACTGTACCCTAACCATCCCATTGCCCCCCCCTCCAAAAAAAAAGTGGAAATGTTTATTGTATAAAGGCTGACGGAAGGAAAAACCCTCCACGGGAGCCGCAAGCATCAAGGCCGCGTTGGTCGTCCTTCAGCACTCTGAAGCAAAAATATGCACGAGCCAGCACGACTCTGTTCTAAACTTAAGACCTCAAACACCCTCCAAGACTTGCAGTCCATTTTAGAGTCGGGGTCGGGTTACAAGCTGGAGCAGAGATAGCCGAGGGAACACAAGCACCGCATGAACTGGCATGGAAGAAAAAAAAAAAAAAAAAGACTAGAGGATCGCAAAGCAGGAGCCAAGAAAGACAGAAAGGGGGCTCGGAGATAAACAGAAACAGCGAGGGTGGAGCGTTTCACGCCAAGTGTTTTCATTGCTTCCATCTTATTGCACTCCGCCGAATTAACAGAGAAAGTGAAACTATTCATTCCCGGCAATTTATTGCTGTGCTGCCTTTTTCTCCCATCACATTATTATTGTGTTTCTATTCAGCCTCACAGTAGGCCTCAAGTAGTTCTTAATCAAATTATACAGGCAGTCAGAAAGCGCTGGCAGTAATTAACTCTTCCACCTGAATGTGGATCACAAATTACACAGTCAGTCCTCTTGTGGCAGACTGAAGACCGCGTGGAGACTTTCAGGAAGTTCACACTCCAAAATGGGGTGTGTGTGTGAATGTGTGTATGAGTGTGTGCCAAGCAGACATACTGGCAAACAGGTGTCAACCTCAAGGCCCGTTGCATCACTTTATGCGGCTCGCGAAGGCATATCAAATGTCTCGTTCATATTTCTTCCTGACCGGCTTCACGCTTACTATTTTGACAGAAAATTGCAAATTTTCTTCATTTTTAACTGCTATTAAAAACACCTCCCCGCCATTCCCCCCCATCAAATCCCTCGTTTACTTAAAAATTAACACACTGCAATTTTACATGACTCGTGATTTCAAAAATAGAAGTGTTTTTGACAATACACGGTAGATAACAATTCATTAAAGGGCGGTGCTTCGAGTTACAACTTTAATTTGTTCGGAGAGCACAAGCGTAACTCAAGACACTCTCAACACAGTTCACTTTTATTTATATAGCGCTTTCACAACAGCTACAGCTGTAACACAACAGAGCGCTTTACAGTCCTATTGCAAATCGTCTTTCGAGTGAAGTGAATGGAATTGCCATTAATACGGTTTAATATCATTTCCATTGCAGCTTCCAGCCCCCCCCCCCCAAAAAAATACAATAATTAAATAGAATGTAAACCATTGTGCATGATTAATTCCTTGCGACTTATTTTGGTGCACACGACTTGGCCACCCGGGTAGTTCAATACAGTCATGAAGACACAAAGAAGACTCTCACCATGACTGTAAGTGACTAATTAAATGACTATTAATAGGATGAAGAGAACATGCCTGTGAGTTTTGTTTTAGTGTCTGTCTAGATGTGTTGATACATTGTTAGTCTTCAAATGTCCATTGCTGAAAGGGCTATAACATCGGGACGACTCATGGCGTTAGCCTGTCTATGGTGTTTTGCATTATGGGTTAGTATTAAATAAGCGGAAGGCGAAGCTGTGTGGTTGTTTTCAAAACACAACATGTAATTATTTTAGTTTGAGAGTAAACTTGATATGGGAGCGGCATTGAACAACTTGAATATTTTTTTCCAGAATTGTTCAGTGCTGCTTGTTGAGGAGCGAGTTGATATGAGTTTCCTGCCCACACAGTGCTTGTGTTTTAAATTTTTACTCAAAAAAAAAAAACAAAGTCAGGTCAATCGTATGCCCATGAGTCATGTCCAATGCTCACGGAAACTAACTAGCCACATTCCTGGCATCACTTATTGGTAGACGTTACGGTTTACACGACAGGATTTTTGGGGACGATTTTTAGTCATGATATTGTCGTTTTCAAAATACGCAATACCTAAAATTACAGCTCCTATAAATAATTTAGTCAGAACCTTCTCCAAATTATTTTATTGAACAACAAGTGGAGATATGTGCCCTTGATCTGATTGGCAACTTCACAAAATTACTCTTGATTATAAAATCAACACAACGTGCAAAGTATCAGCCAATCCAATTAGCCAATCAGATCGGAGGAAAGTCGGCTCATTAAGCCACACCCCTTAAAGGCACACAGCTCAGGCGTAATGTTATTGTGTCTTATAGTAATTACACTTTATTAAACAAGTTTATTTGTTTGCATTGTCTTTTATATTAGTTTGACAGCGCTGTTTTACTTTATTCAAACACTGACAAATATATATATATATAGTAAATGTCGCTTGACTGTATTAATGAAATACCACAAACGTGGTCACGAAAAAAATAAACTTGTCAGTCAAGATACCTTTATATAATTTTCAGTCATAACAGACTTGAGAAATGATGTGGCCCAGATGTGGCCCACAACAAAAAAATATGTTTTCCACCAAATTGCAATATCTATCCAACAGAGGACTGAGTTGAAGCAGTCCTCCCCCCAAAAAGTCAAAGCATATGTGTGACCTTTAAGTAAACTATGTGAACCATAACACGGAAGACGGTACACACCCTCAGCAAACCACAAAGTCACAAAAAAAAAAAATGGTCTTACCTTGAGAAAAACTGCCTTCAACTCATGGGGGTCGGCTCTTTTTGTCATTTTCACCTGTAACACACACAAGCCCAATTTCAGATACTATCATGTTGCTTCTTCATCAAACCCTCTAGTGGTTTAACCGGTTCATCAATGAATTTATTTTGCTCTTGTGATTAGCTCAGATTTTAGCAAAACCGGCACGGCGGAACCGATCCAAAACATCCGCGGAGTGCTAACATAACCCTCCGGGGGGTAGCGAACGAAGCCAGCGGTGGAAAAAATAAATAAACACAAATTCGTCTTGTAGTAAACGTGACAGCCGAGTCAAGACGTCTGGGGGGAGGCCATCGCTCCGGGAGGTGCGAGCAGCGTTCAAGGGGGGTCCGCCACATTTCTGAAACACGCCCTGGAAGGTTCGCGGTCCCCGCGGACGACAGCGAAATACACGCGCTCGCGGTAGCGTCTTTTAAAGTTAATATGTGATAAGAAGTAGTCACTGAGTCACCTTGACCGCCATGCTGGGTGTGACGTCAGTTGTAAGGAAGCAGCGCAGGCGCCGAATGGATGCAGTACAGTAACACACTGCATGTCCATCCAAATCCTGGAAGGTTCAGTTCGGGTAGGGGCGGTGAGGTGGCGGAGCTGGATGTTCTTACAATTCCTGTTTGTGGAGTTGAAACGAGGATATACTACGCACGAATAGAGGCGTACATAAACGCCGGAAGCTCATAAAACAAAAACGACTGACAGTCACATTACAGTAGTCGATAATTAATTGATAGGGAAATGGTACGTGCGCCGGAACAAGTCGCGGCTTCAACGTTGAAACAAATCGAACACATTAGCAAGTGGTGACGTCATGGTTGGTTTCACAGTAGGTTTTGATTTGCACTGCATTCTGTAAATAATTTATTATTACTTTTTATCACATGTCGGTACAGTATTTTACACTCAAATGAATTTACATTCCAGCCCCATTACATAGGCTGAATTTTATTTTAAGGCAAGGTATGTTTGCTTATGTAGCACATTTCATGTACAAGACACTTCATTGCGCTTCGCACAAGCAAAAGCACAACACCTAAAAGCATTAACAAAGCAGCCATAGACATTCAAAAGCAGAGCAATGAAAACAAAAGTACCTTCCCAAAAAATACTTCAAGAACGAAGATTTAATTTAAGCACATTAACAAGAGAAATTAAGACATTTAAGAGTAAAAAAAATGCAAGTTGCTTTTTAAAATACTTAAAGACCATACAGTGGACCACTTTACTGATGCATACTTACACGTTCTCCAGTGATTCCCAACCAGGGTAAGGGGTTGCTGCAGGGAATTACCAGTTTCACAGTTAATGTGTTTGAAAACTATTATTTATTAATTAGAAATATATCTTTGTACAGCCGTCTATGTCAGTGACTTGTAGTGATAGGCAGAATAATCAAATCTTTCAATAAATGGCAGAAAATACAGTAAACCTGTGTATCCACCTTTTCCCATTCATACACCAGAACAACTTATATATCAGCTTTCAATTTAATTAAACAGACCCCAATAAACATTCTCTTAAGACAAATTGGGGATAAATTGATCAAAGATCATTTTTTAATTCATCGGTATTCAAATTTTGTTTTGATGATTTAGTTTTTTAATGGGTGCCTCGGTTCAGTAAAGGTTGGGAATTTCAGTTGGCAAACTTGCATTATTTTTTTCCTTTTTTTTAAACCATTTAACACCAAAGCAGTGATCTGGCAGTTGCTGACAAATGTTAAATAAAACATAGTATTTGTACAGAAAAGGGGTAATCTAGTGCTGACATTGTAGTGGAGGTGAAATTACAGTGGCATAAACCTGACTGGGTATGTCATTTATTGGTGCACCTGGAGGGAAGAAAAGCAAAGGCTGGGTTGATAGCAGATCATTGTGAGCTCATTGACATGTTCAAAATTGCTCCTTTCCACACATTTGTTATTTCTCTTCATTGTAACAGTGTTTGTTAACCTGTTAGCAAAGTATGAATCCTGAATTAATGATAATCTTGACTCAGTTTGTATGAAAGTCTGGTCAGTGACACGCGGGCGTTACATTGTTAACCATCTTTTCAAAATCTACAATCTGAAAGGGATGTTTTTCACCAAGATGTTAATCTGATATTATTATCATGGCCAAATAATTGAACTGTAAGAGGACTGGGCTATGATTTAAGAAACGGTACCTCGATGCGATTTTTTTGGTAATATGGGAGGAATTTTTTTTTCCTCATACGAACAAAGGTCTTTTTTCACAGAATACATTTTGAGAAAGACATATTTTAAAAATTCAAAGTACGCTGGAAGGAAAAGAAGAGCTCCCCCCCCCCAAAAAAAACAACATCCGCTTTGAGCGGAAATACGTAACACCGGAAGTCCTCATGATTGCGCGGTCTTTTAGGACAACACACTTCCCACAACACTGCAGAAATGGCGGGTACGTATTTGACAGCTTGGTTCTTTTCCCTCCGGTTCTAGCCAGCTTCCCTTTATGCCCACCGGCGCGCAGACAGACGCGTGTTCTACCCAACGTCTAGCGTGGCGAGCGTGACGACAATTTTGCAGAACAGAATTCGCAACGCGGGCCTGCCTGGTGTGTTAGCTGCGTGCTATCAGACTGTCAATAACATGCTGTTTGTTTAGCCGTACTGACTGTGTGGGCATGGCAGCTTTTTTTAAAATCTTGTTTACATCCACGTGGAAAGTCACAGACAATTGTTGCCGTTATTATGCATGCAAGCCATCTTAACTCCATACGAGATGTGAATGAGCCTCTTTTAGCGAACATATTGTGGTGTTGTTTACTAGTGCTTGTTTTCATGACGTAGTCTTGCCAGGCTGTATCCAATGCTGCAACATTCAAAAGCTTAGCTCTGCTTTATTGCCTTAGATTTCCCTCCGAAAAACTCTTTGGCTCGACAGACTGATCTTGTGTTGCACTGCTTAGTTTTGTGCACCATTAAGAGTGCCTACTATACATTGAAACGATTATCATGCTTTGGAAAGTGTATCCTTGAATAACAGCTAATGCAGTGTGTTCTCTCAGGAGCAAACAACATGGAAAAGAAACTGGCTGAATTTAAGTGTGACACCAATGAAGCTGTATGCTTAAAGCTAAGTATGTCCTTTTTTTGGGCTGTATTTTGTGCAGAATGAAAATCAAATATTTACCAACTTTTATTGAGCCAAGACATCCATTTGCTGAAAGATCTCACCACACACCACCAAATGAGAATATCGAAGTAATAATGATATCATCTCAATTTACTCACAAATTGACTGATATGTTAAATCTGTTTAGTTCAACACAACGCTGAAATGCATGCTAGAAGCCATAACATATTCTGTTGTTTGAAAATTGTGTTTATTTGTTGTTGTTGTTATTTAACTTTTAACCACTTCACCAAAAGCATACACCTTTTTTTTTATTCAGTTCGCTTTCCAGAGGACGTTGATGATGATGGTACTACATTCCACCCGGAGTACAGCCACCAGATTTTTGGAGATGAGTAAGTATTTTCTTTTCATCATTATGTAGACGACCGCTTCACTTAATTAACGTTCCCAACTTGCATATAAAAGCTTATATTGTCATTAAGTCGGATTTATGTTGCAGACTAAATTCAGGCCCATAAGAACCGAACTGTTGCAAGAACCAATTGTTGCGTGCCAAGTAAAAATGTAAACGTGAAAAACAAAAACTGATAGAATTGTTCCTTGTGGACCCAAGTAAGCCCACTGTTACCATCACTACCAGCCTGTGGTCACATTGATTGGCTTTAAATCTGTGTTCCACATTGTCAAAGATAATTATTCTGGCATTTAGCAAATTGAAATAATTTGGGTAATTCTTATGTTTCATGTGATTTCATGTCAGACTGCGGAGGGGCATATATCTTTTCATATTTTAGATGTAAACTCCTGGTATTTTACAAAAAAAATTAAATTGTCTAAATTACAATGAACTTCTAAATTACAATGAATTTCTTCCCTTCCCCACAGTGAGGTGGCATTTGGATACAAAGGTCTTCAGATCCAGCTCTTTTACACAGCGGGAAGCCTGACCACTCTTTATAAAGTCAAGTATTCCTCCAAAGTCACGGACACATTTGACTGTGTGGAGGTAAGGTTTGCTTTTTTTCCTTCCCCACATCATTTTTTTTTCCCAATTACCCCTCCTCAATGAAATTACGTTTTCTGAGTTTGGTCATGTGATGTCCGCAAGCTGAGCCGTGATTGGTCGTTACCTGATCACTGAGTAACTGACGTCATTTTCAGTCGACAGCAAGTGGCAAAATGGGTGCCCGCTCAGATGGTGGATTTAGTTTAATTTATATTCCACAAACGCAATATTAACCAGAATGCCATGTTTAAACTAGTGGGGCCCGCATAGAACATATTACAGGGATGGGGAATTTTTCAGCCGATCAAAACGGCCATTCTCGATATAAGTGTAAATTCGTTGACAGGTTTTCGGGTTAGGGGGCTCCTGGCGAGAGGGGAGAGATACTGTGACCTGCACTTCTGAGAGAGAGCATAAACTAAAGAGGTCAAAAAACAATGACGACGCAGTTAAAAGTGAAATGACCTTCATTTTTATTCTTTACCATTCTTTGTTTTTTACATTATGCACAACTCTCATTTATTGTGCAATAATCTAATTGTAACATGTATTTGTTACATATTTTGATGCATTTTTATGCTTTAGAAAACATTTATGTCTGAATTTTGGGGGGGGGCTTGGAACGGATTAGGGCATTTACATGGAAAACGCGTCTCTACTTGCAAATTTTTCTAGTTAAGAAATTTCTTCCCAAACCAATTAATTTTGTAAGTAGAGGTACCACTGTACACAAAATTTGAGTCATCGCAAGTTATTCCGGCCACAACTACGAAGTATAAATGGTTGTTAAATGTTGATGATTTGAGCGTATATGAAGGACTCGTATTTAAAAAAAAAAAGACAAAAAGTAAATAGTTTCATCTGATAAGGATGGGAAGTGAGACAGTTGACTGTCAATGTTTTTATTGGAAGTGGAGAGCCATTTTCTGTATTTTTTGGAGCCAACTTTGAAGCCACAGATGATGTTCAAGATGAAGAATGATGGCGGCCTGACTGCCAGCGTGTGCTCAGCGTTGACCCCGACGGCACTCTGAGCGTCAAGGGTTTGAGTGCAGCTGGTGTCAGGGTGGAGAACGAGGGGAGTAGCTTTGGCTACGTCTGAAGAGTGTTTGTCTCCCCGTCCGAGTGCATGTGGACGGTCAGGCCACGGTGCAGGTGGTGAGAAAAAGGACTTAGAATTTAAGCAGCTGCAATGTAGTCTCTTATCATTTTTTTTTTTCCTGGACAATAATTAATTCAGACTAATGGCAATTTTCAGCATTTCCGCCATCGACCTCTGTGAGCGTGTGTTTGTTTTGACTCAAAAAGATGATGGAAGGCCTTTTGCTTGAAAGACGCTTGATAATACCAACACGACAAATTAGATTTATTTATTCCCCCTTTGTCCTTATTGTTTTGCAATCAAATATATAGAACAATGTTCCGAAGGTACATTGTTAAGTTACATTCACGAAACACGAAGGCATCTATTCTGAAAGGCTGCGCAATTTGGTGTCTAGTATGTCAAAGAGTGTCTCGAACAAAAAGGCTTGTTTGTCGAAGGCCTTTTTTTTTTTTTTAAAGCATGCTCCTTGTTTCTTCCAAACGCGGCCGAACAATTGCAGCGCTGGAGAGGCATTCAGCTGCAGGTGCATTACCTCCAGTTTGATATTAGCTGATGTCTGAAAGGGGGAGAATCGTCAGTATTTTGTATTAGCCTTTTGTCGTGCATTTTGCCCCGACCTTCTTCATTTCCCTGTTTTGAATGCCGAGCAGCGAGGGTCTCTGTGGCGACATAATGCCCATCACACATGCAAATGGTGTGAAAGGGCCGCTTAGCAAAGTGTTCTCACGTCAATCCTTGTGGAAATGGATACAATGCAAACATTACAGCTGAACTAACCACGCGTTGCGCTGAGGGAAAAAGTCCGAGGGGTAGCGCCCCTTTGTCTCCGAGGCCCTTTGAAAAATACGGGGCCCAATTCATTTGATTGGGTTCACTTGGCAGGATTAGAGGAGAGGGCCTCTATTATGTATTGCCAAAGGTTTATGAAGTTGAGATCAATTCATCAGGTTTAATTTCCCGGTGAGTGGCAGAAATGCGTTATTGTGGCAACTTCATCACATATTCATGGTTTAACTTGAAGAGTAAATGTACCGATTTAAGTGGTCTTTTCACTTGGAGGGGGGAGGGGGGCTGCCCAGGCCCCTCTGCTCAGCTGACAGTTTTAATTGCCTAATGGTTTTCTTTTCATTGGCGCACACTCGGGGGATTTGTTTTCTTTTTACAGCCTATTTTGGTACATTTTTCGCAGCCTTACCTTGTCTGTGAAAAGAGAAATGTTTCGTGTCGGTCACCTGGAATACAGCCTTGAGATAGGAGTGATCCGACTTTTTTTTTTTTTTTTTTTTTTAAAGATACAAGATGTTGATCAAACATTGTGGATTTGTTTTGGCTTGCGAGTGCAAAATGAGTGACGTATGACGGAAGATGACTCAACTCAGTTCACAACAAGCAAAAGTATGGCAGATTAAATTTGTGAATATTCTTCGAAAAAAAGGCTCAAAAGTGTTTATTGCCAGTCTGATCTGAAAATGTCAAAGTAAATATAAAACAAAGAGAAGTACACCGTGTTTTTATTGAGCAAAACAACCATGTAGCCTCTCCTACCTCAATGCTAGCATACAATGGTAAATTACATTCGCACACACGCTAACAATTAGCATCAATATGGTGCCGTTGTTCGCCTTCAAGCCAGGGCTCACTCAGAACTACTTTTCGGGGTACAGATTAATGTGACCAGCTAAGAGTTTGATACACACTTCCGAAATAACAAATTAGCTCAAATAACTTTGAAGAATGTTCATTATTTATTGAAAATGAATGTGAAGACACTGAGCATGTTCATGATTTCTCACAATAATGAGGGACCAGATAAATATAAATATGCAAGACTTTTTTTTTTCTATAAGACTCTGCTAGTGTTCTAAGTTTTTGAATGTTCACTCCCACAACATTCTTAGAAAATTACAATGTCCCATCACCGATAAGCTTTTTTATTTTATTTTTTTAGAACAGCCACCACATTGGTGACGCCACAGAAAGTGGTAAGCTATTTATTTTATTTTATTTTTATTTTTTTTAAGAACAGCCACCACATTGGTGACGCCACAGAAAGTGCAGTATACCCGTCTTGCCTCCAGTTGGCTGAGGCACGCATGCCAGAAAACAGCACCATGTTGCATTGAAGGGGAAAGTTTCGAGCAGGCTCAAGGAACTGATTAAACTCGCACCTCAAGGCGCTATTGGGTTTGAACGCGCGTGTATTCCTTTCCCAGTCCTTCATCACCGTAATGATCTGAATTCCCATTACAGCCTGACAATATCGATGGAAAGATCCGTGAAATTGTTCCCGCCGGCTTCATCTGCAACACTGATGACTTCATCACGCTGCTGGAGAAGGAAGCGAATTTCAGGCCCTTCGGCACTTTGTTGCACGTGTACACAGTCCACAACGACGAAGCCGGAGAGCTCACGTATCAGATTCACAAGGTGTGAGCGGCTCATCTTTTGCCCCCGTGCATTTTTGTTGAAAGCCGCTTGAAATATTTCAGCTTGTAACATTTTCTTCTCCCATCATATTCGCCGCAGGCCGACTTGAGCTGCTCGGGATTCCGAGAGTACCACGAGCGCCTGCAGACCTTCCTCATGTGGTTCATAGAGACCGCCAGTTTCATTGACCCAGATGACGATCGTTGGGACTTCTTTCTTGTGTGCGTGATCTCTTTAATTGACACCCCCACCCTCATACCCCCCCACCCCCCCACCCACCCTAAACTATCCCAAAGCCTATATTGTATCATTGAAAGACAAAGCCCCTTTTTGAGGCGCTTTTGGCCAATTACCCGGCCGATTTGATTATACTCCCCTCGGTAGGAGAATTCTTGATCAGGAAAGAACTTCTTTTGTGCCAAAAAGCCCTTTTGAGTTTTTTTTCTTGGGGGAGGGGGGGCACGAACAGAATTGAATGCTGTTGTGTTTTGAAACATTGAACAGTATGTTAACAGTAAAAAGAGCCTCTGCCAGTGTTTCCTTTACCTTGGCACCTATTAAAACTGACAAAGGGCAAAATGGACTGAAGTGATTTTTGAGGAGCTCAGTCCCTCTTTCAGGCCTTTCTCTTCCCCTAAGTTGCAATACTCCAATTAAGTGCATAATGTATTCAGGTTGCAGCAGGTGTACCAATCTGGCCTGGCTGCTCTAACTTGGTGCCGTCGTGCGTGAGGTGGAGGTGGAGGGGGGCGGGGGGGTGTAAAATGGACACTGCATGAAGTAACGCTTGTAATTGACCTGTTTGCCTTTGTGTTTTATGTGCAGATTTGAAAAGTACAATAAAGACGGGGAGACCCTCTACGCAACCATTGGCTACATGACAGTTTATAATTACTACGCGTATCCAGACAAAACCCGGCCACGTGTAAGGTAATTGCTGGGGCAGCACGGGCTATCCCATTCTTTTGTGTGTTAAAGGGAAGAGGGAAATTGCACATTTCTTTATCCTCTTCCCAAAGAAGGGCCCAAATTACTGGCCGAGATCACCAATCATTGGTTTCTTCGTGAAACCGGGGTGATTTGTGTCTGAAAACAACTTTATAAAGAAGCATCTGATGTGACTGAATTAATTGTGCTGATGGATCAAAGAGACTCTCATCACTTTCTGTTCCTGCTGTGCTGCTACTTGGATATTTAAAAACAAAAAACATGTTTTAAGTATTTTACAAATCAACATTTTTTTTCCTCTTTTTTTTTGTGTTCATTACCGAAACAGTCAAATGCTGATACTGCCTCCGTTCCAAGGAGAAGGTCATGGAGCGCAACTGTTGGAGGCAGTGCACAGATTTTATTCTAGCGTTCCAAAAGTGCAAGACATCACAGGTGAGCCATTTTAAATTTAAATAAACACCGGCCACAGCGTTAAGTTGACTTATGGAGCAACTCGTCATAGTATGACGCTCCATTGCAAACCACACCCACAAAAACAAGCCCATTTTTGTACCGCACTTGTTCATGATCATTAGCCCAAAACAAAGTTTATCCGTTTGCATCGGAAATATCTGTGTAGCGTATTCACTTGGGTATAGGTTGAACAAGATTTGCAAAGCATTGTATTCTCTTTTTAATTGATGTTTAACACAACGTCCCAACTTCATCGGAATGGCCTTTGTGCTTGGAGCGAAAAGGAATGCGCGGTTCAGTCACAAATGCTGAAATTGATTTGTCAGTGCTGTGACTGGATCATGCGGGGAAAGTTGATTTGGTGAGCTGGCATGAAAACTAGCCTGCTGAGGCTTTATTGAGATTTTCTCAATCTAAGTTGTTGACATGGCTGTGTGGAGACCGGGGATGAATACTAAAGAGGCATCCGAGACTGGAATTCGGAATGTGGCAAAAGAGAATGCTTCACAAACCCAGCAGAGAGATTTCTATCGTTCTTACCTGACTGCCATCTATTGCGTTTTCAGCTGAAGACCCTTCTGAGAGCTACGTGAAGCTGAGGGACTACGTGCTGGTCAAGCTTTGTCAGGGCCTGTCGTCCTTTGCGGAGGACAAACTGCACCAGGGCCTGTCAGCCGAAATGGTTGAAGAGGCACAAATGAAACTGAAAATCAACAAGGTACTCTGTCAATACTTGCCTGGTCGTCTCCATGTCACCAGTCCAACGCAGCAAATTATTGAATGGTCAATTCATGGATGCTTCGGACATTTTGTCAGCCTTTTTTGCAAAGTTTTATTTTCAAGGCGGGGGCCGTAACCATCAGGCTGGGTGAAAATATTTACCCCAAGCCTCACTATTCCATCCATTAGTTCATCTGAAATTGTAAATATGGTTAAGTATTGTTGTAAAACACAATTAAGTGTCCACTATATGCTGTATTTTTGTCTTAACCGCTGCTGGCCGCCTGGCATGCGAATTCATCTCCTGCCTTGAACCCGTAAATGGATTTTTTATTTGCGGGAATCCTTCGGTGCACATCATGAAACGGCAATTCATATTTTCAGTTGCCACAAAACCAGTAGCCGAGACTCACCACTTGTGAAAATAAGTCAGCTTTGGGTGAAACCCCTTCGGTTTAAATCAATGCTACCTCTACAGAAACATGCAAGAAGAGTGTACGAGATCCTGCGTCTGAGAGTGACGGACATGAGCGATGAAGAGAAATCAAGGGCGTACCGTTTGGCAGTGAAGAAGAGGCTGTTCGGACCTTACAGGGTGAGTCGTCTATTTTTATTTTTATTTTTGTGTCTCTCTGCCTCTGTGATGGATTAAGATGAGAAAATACTGTGCAGGAATAATCCAGTGGAAATTTTTGAAGCACTTTGTCAAGAAAAAGTTACTATTTAGTAAAAAATTGCACCTGCAATTTGATATTAATTGTTTTTGAAAGTATTTTTTTTTTACTCTCATATTTTACTTGGCAATCTTTCCGTACAACTGCATAATAGTCAACGAGATGCACCTTATGAAATCATGGAATCGAGCCCTGTGTCCTAACATAACTCTTACATTCTGTTTCCCTGTGACGTTTTCTGTCGGAGTTGTTTTGCATAGCAACCATGAAGCATTCTGTTCGTCAGCGAAACCCCGCCTCCAAAGAGGCAGAGTAGGACATGGAAAAAAAGTCCCACGGGGTAAATCGGCAAGAAGAGATCTGTTCGCCAGATGCTGCCAGTTTTTTTTTTCTTTTTTTCTTTTCTTTTTCCTTCCCTGAGGAAATTTTAACATGCAGTTAGCTGAATGTTGGATGCCGCCACTTTGTAAACGTGAGCGAATAATACCGCTGCCCTAACAGAGCTTTTTTTTTTACCATGCCTCGGGAGACCTTGTCTGATTGTGTGGAATGTGGAATTTCATTGTCATCGCTTTTTCCAAATGCCGTTCATCAGTCGCTGATGTTAGTGTGCATCACATTACCCGGGTTGGACAATCTGCATAAAAAAATTAATTGATTATTTTATTGTCTAAGGACACTGTGGTCTAAACTCACTGTTATGGATCAGAGGTCAGGGTCCTGGTACATCTTGTGTAAGCTTGAAATCAGAAACAATGAGGGAGATTCACGCCCGTTTCACCGAAGTACATTCCGCGCACGTTACACATCAACCTGACTGCAGAAGTCGAGGATGAGGGACCTTGATTGGCCTCCCCGCAGTCCCCGCCCTGTCTCCACTAGAGAAGGGTGCGTTTTTAAATTCGATGTGACAAGAAGACAACTTGTGTGCGCCTCGAGAATCCTGTGAAGGAAGAACGACAGATAATTACATCTATAAAAGCTTCGCCCGTGCATCCTCAGGCACTAGTCAAGTTTTGAGAAAAGAAGTGGCACCTTCACCATCTGGTAAACGTTTTTTTTTTCTTCTTCTTCTTAATTTGGCAAATTTGAAATAATGCCACACTTGTGATCATTTCCCTAAATGACCGTTTCCACCTTCCCTGACGTGGCCGTCGGTTTGCCTCTTTTGTACAGAAGAATCAGCGGGAGCTAACGAAGATGACAAAGTGCCTGCGGCTCGAGGAGGTGGTGTCCCAATTGGGTCAGATGGACACTCAGATGCAACACGAGGAGCTGGAGAAGAGCTACCAGGTGGTTTTGCAAGACTACCGGAGAATCATCGAGAGGCTGGCGTCGCAGGCCTGATTAGGAGAGACCACTTGCCAGGAGCCCACCCTCTCAACTGCGTGGTCTGTGTGTCGTGAACTCTCACCGCAACCAAGAAGAGACACTCGTGAAGACGTACAATCCAATCACCGTTCTAATTGCAGAGTGTTTTTACAGTTAGCTGAGTTGTGGGTTGCAGCGGAGAGCAGCCATTTTGTCTCCCAGCTTGTGTTGGTACACTGGAGGAGTAGTGCAGCTTTGGTGGGGCTTTGCCCCACATTTGCAGGACCAGTCATGTTTGTAGATCTCTCCCTGGAACATTTGCCCATTGTCCCACCGTTTTTGCAGCACTTCAAATAAAAAAAAATGGTATTTGTAGTTGCCTCGTATTACACGTTTCTTCACTGATGCAGAGATGGCGGCAGCAAGCTCAGCTGACTTCGCAAGAAGCTGCTATTTGGCGCATTGTGAAATATTCGTAATAAAAAAAACAAACCAAAAAAAAGCTGTCAAGCTTTCTATTGACACTCCCAGTTGTCATTTGCCGTCAAACTAAACATAAAACAAAGAGAATGATATGTCGTTTTTAACAACCACATCGCTTTAAAATATGCTAGCTTGTTGCAAACGCACGTTGGACAATCTTAAAAAAGATAAGCACACTAAACCTTAATGCAAGGAGAATGCTTATGGACTGCTCCACCTGCCCGCGTTCTGACGCATTTTCAACGCATTTTCCAGCATGCTTTTTAAACACACAGTGTACCTGCTCGAAATGTCACTTTGTTCACTCACCCTCTTCTGGCTAATGCAACTTGTAATTGCCACTGCTCTGGAGTGCCTCGATGCGCTTAATGATTATTATGGTGTTCAATTGAAAACCTTTGCATCCCTGTAACAATCCAGCTTGCGGAGATCACAGGTAAATACCCATCATGCTTTATGATACTTTAGCACATTGTCGCTAAATAAGGACCGCTAGGTCAATTCTACCTTTCCACTTGTCATAAGACAAAACCTGGGAAGCTTGATTGAACCCACTCGTGCGCACAAGAGGCCTCGTCTCGCTAGTTCCCATTTACTGCCGTGTGTGTGACCGCTATCGGCTCGGCGCAGCTGACAGAACCGCTGCCGCATCGTGGCAGGACCTGGTAGGCTTCCGGATTCAGTCCAAAGTTACTTACCACTCCCCCCTGCCTAGATGGAAAGCTGGAAAGATTTTTTGCAACACGAAAAAAAACATCTATTGAAACTTTTTGACTTTGAAAAATGGAGCATAATATCCAGCATGTCAATTTCCTTTCTTGACTCAACCCCCCCACAAAAAAGAAGGCAGTGTGCCTCCTTGCGCAGACAAACGATTATCGCCAATACAGCAGTGGGTCCTCAATCGCTGAGCTTTTGTTCAGCGGGGACACAAGGCTCTCTATTATGTCGCATAAGTGCCGAGATGCGGGAGGCGGATTTGTGTTTGAAATTCCCACTTTCACTCGGTTATATTTCCGAAGACTCCACATGCAAAAAAAAAAAAAAAAATGCTGACATCTGCTGTCAATCGTGTTTCAGCATGTTTAATCATGCGAGCGATGTCTCTGATGCCGCCAGCGAGACTTAATATCGCCTGAATGGGAGCGACAGTATTGAGCTAGACTGGAATATTTGGTTTCACCTGTGGTATTTTGGCCTCGTGGCGCCTCTGGCATCTCTGCGCCGAGGCAGACGGTCGTCAGGACTTTGGACCGGAGCCCAGTTGCACTGACAGACCCGCCGAATCCGATACCTGCGTGGAGCAGCGGCATCTTAGCGGCCAGAGAGGGCACCCACCTCTATTCCCCTCTCGCGACGCTTCTCCGATCATGTTCCCTCTTCTTTTGTGCTCCTTAGATAGGCGCATTCCCCCGTGGCTAGCGGGTGCACCGACTCGGTCCCTTTTTCACTGCTAAACGGTCCCTCTTTAAGATAACGTTTGATGCTCTGACAAGCAGACCCAAAAACGACGCAAAGGAAGCCCAAGTTTGACATTCTTTTAATCGTGCGTCAGACAGTCGAGATTGAGCTTCTGGGCCTGCTTTCAGATGGGCCGCTGATAAGGTTGTTTGTGAAGTCAAGGATGCGAGGGTGAAAAATGAAGAGCGTCCAGTTCAGCGGCGGGCTGGGTGCTCGGCAAGAAACAGACAAGAAGGATTTCAAAACAAATTACAGATGTCTCGGTGAAGAGAAGTCCGGGGGTATTTCAGTTCTTAATTTACTTACTGAACATCTCTTGACTGAGATTTGAGTTGTTTGGTCATTTCACATTGAGCACAATTTTAAAATGTGAATATTTTTCTTGTTAAATACTGTATAGTCGTCTCTACTATCCTGTCCTGGACACGGGTCAACATTCAATTTTGTCACCATAGAACGTAATGGAAATACAAAAGTGTCACAAATGTAGTTCTCTGTTTTTAGTGAAGGGAAGTGGCAGTAAAACAGGCCAAAATCCAGCAAGTCAGGGTTTGGAGCGCGTTCAGAGACTATTTGCAAATTACAGTAGGTTTTGCCCAACTAAATGTGAGAATTTACAAATAAATCTGAAATTTCGGTAGATAGCGGAAGGCTCTGGATGGAAGACAAGGTGCCACAAAGTCAGCGCGGTCATTCAGTTCAGTCATGTAATATTTTATAAGTGCAACGTTGCCTCGAACGCCATTTGTGCTTTATTCGGAGACTCGCGGCAGAGAAGCGATTTAACTGTGCACTTTTGAGCATCACATTAACGGTCTCCTTGTCCTACTGTTTTGGTTGCGACTGGCTTTTACTGTACTGTTGAGCCAGCCTGTGTATTAATCTCTTAAATGAGCCGTGCCATGTGATTCACTAGATGTGCTTTCCAATTAAAACCTGCCCCATTAGGGTGTAATTGGCGCTATCTGAGGCTGCGAGCGAGCCGAAGGGGAGCGCGGCGAGAAGCCAGTCTGATGCTATCAGGTCAGAGGAGACAGGAAACCTCTGTGTAATCTCGTCAGGTTGGAGATGGCGACTGCGATCGTGCACTGGGGCTGCTGACGTTTTCGGTACTGCAGGGTTTTTTTTGTTTTTTTTTTGTCCAGTCGGGGGATCTGAAAGCATCTGTGGGCTCACTTTCTGTAAAAGAACCCATGGGACAGGGAGGGGTGGCCTCATAGAATAACACCGCAAATGGCAACAGGTTGCTTCTTAAACAGATTTCATAAGGAACGGCAATCCAGACACGAGTTCTCACTCTTTGCTTGCGGAATGATCTTAGTTTCACGGGAATTCTAAGAAATGATAAAAATGTCATGTGGCTACAGGGCAAACAAGCAGGAAACGTTATCCGTTTTTTTTTTTTTGTTTTTTTTTTTAAATATACACCAAGCCCCTAAAGTAAACAATGTGGAAGAGTGATTTCTTTCTACTCTTCTGACAGCATCCCTAAATAGGCTGTAAATGTTTTTTTAAACTGCACCAGGACAGTAATGCATACAGTGTGTTTGCGGTGTGCAGATGTCCCGTTTGCTGGAACAAGGACTGCTCAGTAAACACTTAACCACAAATCTGGAAACACGTACTTTTACAATACGTGTCACTCACAATACGACAGCAACGTGCTTCCGGACCCGTCCGTCCGTCCGTCCGCGTGTGTGAGTCTCTCCCGCCGTTACTCTCCAGCTCACTGAGTAAATATGCACACGGACACACAATGACATTTCACAGATGCTTTGTGCTAATTAAGGCGAAGTATTCCCTATTGTCCAGGTCGTTGACAAATCTTAAAGTGCACTGCTGGCAAAACTACAGGACCTGATGAGGGCGGAGTCTTTATTCGGAATGCTTGAAGCGAATATGTTATTCGAGCAGTCTAAAACCTTTGGCTTTTTCTTAATGAATCTAAATGAAACACGTTATGCCCAAAAAGTATTTTCATTGTTATTGTTGGGCCATTATACTGTTGTGCAGTTTGAACATTGCCACCGTGTTTAAATATCGATCCACAAATTGGCTGTACCGCTTGTACTCACTCGGGTTGCAGGTGACCCAGTAATACAAAAAAATAAAATAAAAATTCACTTGTGATTGCCTTCGAATGAGTTGTACATAAAGATTTCATTTTGTACCTAACAAAATGTTGGAAAACACACGCCTTAAAGAGAAGCTGTAAATATTTTGAACTTCAAAGTTAAATACAACTGAACTGTATTCCGGCTGTTTTCTTTCACAAACCACTAGAGGGCGTCATTAGTGGTACTCGTACCACCCTGAGAAGCACTGAAATGCTTTCATTGATTAAAAATAGCTCCAATTTTTCAAGTAACCTCCCAAAATGCAGTTATACCTTCACTCGGAGGTTTAATTCATCCTGTGACCGGGCTCGTAACTCAATTTACACGCATTTTAAGAGCGGAATACGAATATTAGCATGATTTGATCCGCAGCTATATTATTAACCTGATAACGTGTTTCTTGCTAGCTTTAACTCTTTAAGATGGGTAGTTTTTACCCCTTGTTGGATCAAAATCTCAACTTGATGCCCTTGGTCCAAACCACCCAACAATGGTTCGGCCCCTTTTGCACCCAGAACCGGTTTAGCCATTTCAACCAAATTGGGTGCCTTTAACCCAGCAGGTTTGAGAGTGGACATGCAAAGCCAGAAGTTGGTGGGGGCAAGACTGTACTGTGACGGAATAGCACTTGTGTACGCACTCTCCTCTCCTCCCTAAAATGTGCAAAAGGAGAAACTGAAAAGACCTTTGAGCTCTCTTCTTCACTACTTTAGTCCTCCTCACGCAGCTCTCCCAGGCTGCAGCAGGTCTCCCTGTCCCGGCTCCTGTCCAGGGTCTGTTGCTGTGATGTGGAGGGTCATGCTTGTGTCTGACCTCGGGGCCTTCATGCTTGATGTTGTTATTATTAGAGCACATTGGCCCCCGGGCAGCCGGTCTCCAAAAGCAGTGAAGACCCTGGAGAGGCTCTGGACCTGGAAAACAGCTGTGTGGGTTAGAGGCTGCAGGGGCCCCTTTGCACCCTGGCCCCCAGCTCAATGGTCCCCTGAGAGCACCTCTGCACTGGCCAGCCGGGAGGTGCCTAATGTGTGTGTGTGTGTGTGTGTGTGTGTGTGTGTGTGTGTGTGTGTGTGTGTGTGTGTTTGAAATATAAAATGCACTCACCTGGACTGGCGCATGGTTCAGTCAGAACGGTTGAAAGAGAAAACGCAGAAGTGTGAAATATACTTCAAAATTAGTATTAAGCATTTTATTTATTTTATTTATTTTTTAATGTGGCCACTTGTCAAATTTTCTATGGAAATTAAAATCCAGATTTGTGTCTTGCTAATGTAAGGCAGCAGGTGCTTCCCGTCCCCAAATAATGCGTGCCCATTT